AAAAAAAAAAAGAAAGTCACCGCAGCCAGGAGGCCCCAGAAGATGACACTTCTCGGCTTTTTCTTGTCCTGGGCGCTGTGGTGCCCCACCCAGATCCCCCTTCCCAGGACTGGCACTGCTGTGTAGTCAGGGCTGTGCAGAGAGACAGAACCAGTGGGGGTGCTGGGAGGGGAAGGAAGGATGGAGACAAGGGGAGATTTGTTAGAGACATTGACTCCTGTGGGTTACAGAACATGACGGGTCTAAAAACAAGCTCTCTGCAAACTGGAGCACCAGGAAGGCCCAGAACAGGGCTCAGTCTGAAGGCCTCACTCAGAATGAGGGAAGCCCTGATGTAACTCTCAGCCCAAGGCCAAAGGCCTGAGGACCCAGGGCAGGGACCCCTGGTGCAAGTTCCAGAGGCCAAAGGCTGGAGAGGCTGGAGTTCTGACCTGCAAGGGCAGGAGAAGGGTGTTGGAGCTCCAGAAGGGAGAGAACTTGCCTTTCCTGTGCCTGTTTGTTTTACCTGGGCTCCCTCCTCTCCTGCCCCTTGACTACATGGTGCCACCCGCATTGAGGGCGGACTTCCCCCTCCCCCAGCCCCCCCAGGCGTGCACCAATCTCCTCCATGAACACTGTCACAGACACACACTGTGCCAGGCACCCCTGAACCCAGTCAAGCTGACATCTAAAATTAACCTGCACAGACGTGGTCCCCAGCGGTAAATGTAAGCACCTCTTCCGAGGTTTTGCTCCTTCTGGGTGACCCACCGCTCACCTCAATTTGGGGACAACTCTGAAGGGACTTCCCCCTGGCACTGGCCAGGGCCTCAGTGTGTCTGTAACTGCACTGTGCCTCAGTTTCTCCCTCTACCTGCCCACGCCCTCCTCACTACCTTACAGGGGTCTCTCCTCAGGGCTGTCAGCATAAACCTCCGTCTCAAACTCTGGGTTCTGGGGCCAGTTGGCTGTGGGCGCGGGGAGCTCACATCCTCTTAGAATTTTCTGCAAGCTCAAGAGTGGTAACATCTTCTGGGTCTGACCTTCTCATCAGACCTTCCCGTGTGCACCCTCTCAGTGAACCCCCTCTGGAGTGGAGACTGTGGCTGTTCCTCCCAGACCCTCTCTGATCCCCTTTGCCACACTGGACACCTCTGCCCTGGCGTCTACAAACTGCACCTGCAACTCCAGGGAGGCCTACTTGGGTTAGGGAGCTGCCCTGACCACAGGGCCAGAGAGAGGGGGAGGCTGGGAACTGCGACCCCTGGGGCAGCCCTCACTCCAGGACTGATGGGTGCGGGAACAGGAGAGCCCAGCTTCTCTGGTGGGAACGCTGGGATTTCCCACTTGCCTTCCCCTCCTCCTGCCCTCCTCCCTTCTCTCTCTGATTTTCCCTGGGAGCTTCCAGTCTGACTCACCTGCCCAGTTGCCCACCCAGGCTCTGCTCCCTGAGAACCCCACCTCAGACACTGCTCCTAATAAGATAAAAACAGTAGAACCCGACAGTGCCCACAAACACACATTCCAGCCTGTGGGTCTTAGATTTTAGGTTTCCAGAGGCGTTTCTGTCAGGCCCCACCCGGGGATCCGTCACGGGAGGCTCACTCACTCCCATTTTCTTTCATTATTTTTGAGAGCTTCATTTGTTATGATTAAATCTTTAATCCACTACTTGGGATTTATTTGGGTACATGATGTAGGGAAGGAAACCAATTTAATATTTTTCATAAACAGTTAACTGATGATCACAGCACTGTTTATTTATTTATGTAGCTTTTAAATTAAAAATGAATTAATACATGAAATGATCACCAAGATAGGATTAAGTTAAAAGAAAAACAAAGTGCAGAGAAGTGTGCATAATTAGCTCTTATTTGTTTAAAAAATACATACAAGGGCTTCTGGGCACGCTTGGACAGTTTCTGAGAGGGTTTATGGAAAGTGTTAGTAGATGTTGCCTCTAGATAGAGGGCCGGGGTGAAAGGGAGACTTATTCTTCGCTGAGTACTTTTTGACTTGTTTGAATTTTTTATCACGTTTGGTCATGACTGTTTTAGTAAAAAAAAAAAAAATAAGTTAATTAAAAAAATTCAAGACTCTAATTTGTAAGCACCAAAACACAACTGAAGCATAAAGAGACCCATATTTTGAAGGCTGCAGCTTCAGGTCTCACCCTGGAGCCCAAAGCCAGGAGGGCAGCCAGTGCTGTGATGCCTGGGGCCAGGGGTGTGAGCAGGATACCCCTTCTCAGCTATCCAGTGGTTTCGGTGTCCTACATCAGAGGATGGCGCTCCCTGAGGAAGATGCCGAAAACCCACCTGTCTTTGCCCAACCTCTCCAGGCAGGAATGAGGCACCTTTCTTTGTTTTTTGTTTTTGTTTTGTCCAGGGGCAGGGTTTGAACCCACCACCTCTGGTATATAGGGCCAGTGCCCTACTCCTTTGCGCCACCGGCGCTGCCCCTCCTTTCTTTTTTGGGTTTGTGTGTGTGTGTGTGTGTGTTTTGAGACAGTGTCTCACTTTGTTACTCTGGGAGAGTGTTGTGGTGTTATCGCTCACAGCAACTTCAAACTCTTGGGCTCAAGAGATCCGCCTGCCTCAGCTTCCTGGGTACTGGGACTACAGGAGCCACCCGGCTACTTTTTCTTTTTTTTTTTAAGACGAGGTCTCACTTTGTCACTTTCGGTAGAATGCCATGGTATCACAGCTTACAGCAACCTCAAACTCTTGGGCTAAAGCAATTCTCTTGCTTCAGCCTCCCAAATAGCTGGGACTACAGGCACCCACTTTAACTTTTTTTTTTTTTGAGACGGGGTCTCAGGGTCTTGCTTTTGCTCAGGCTGGTCTCTAACTTCTGAGCTGAGGCAATCCACCTGCCTCGGCCACTCACAGTGTTAGGATTGTAGGCGTGAGCCACCATACCAGACCTGGTTTTTTTTTTTTTAATAGAGACAGGGCCTGGCTCTTGCTC